ATTTTATCTCAGGTTTTTTGGTTGAGAATTGGATTGAAAAATTATTATCACGAACGGGATTTGAACCCACGACCTTCGGCTCAATACGCCGCTCCTCTAACCACTATGGGACCACCATAACTCAAATGATTTCCGCTTGTGTCACAAATTTTTCATCTCAACCAAAAAACTTACATAAAATGAATAATTAATTAGTACATTATATATATCAAAAAATGACAAAAGTTAAATTAAATATAAAACATTTACCCACATGAGTTTTTAGCAAATCGTGGAAGAAACGGAATTCTAAGTGGATTTTTAAGAAGAAAAAGAACAATAACTTTATTCTGCGACTGGTGTCCTCTAAGAATAATTTACATGAAATAAATAAAGGAAGTTCCTGCTATGAAGTTAAAAGTAAAAAAGACAGAAATCTTGGCACGATCTATACCGGTAAGGCAGGCCAGAAGAGAAAATTACGAGAATATTAAACAAAAATAACAAATGTTAACGTGAGGTCTCTGCTTGGAGGGAGAGGAGGTGATTATACAAGTGGGATTTAAAGGAGGAAAAGGAGGCAGCGTGACGAATAGAAAGGGGAAGGGAGTTCCAGAGTTTAGGGGCTCGGATCAGAAAGAATCTTTCGAAGGGATGGGTTGTATGTTGCGGAAGGATAAGGTCGATTGGGGTTGAGCGGGTCTTACGAGTGAGATGTGAGGAGTTTAATTGGAGGGATTGGATGATGTAAGGAGGACGACGAGTGTGGATGGACTGGAAAAGAAAGCAACCTAGGAAATGCTGTACACGGAAGGAAGGGAATAGCCAGGAAAGTTGGGAATACACCCCCGACACCCGGGATCCCCGTGGGGTGCCGTACACAAATCTTACGCAACAATTCATAATACGCTTCAATCGCGCGTTCTCCCCCTCCGAGAGACCACCGTATGACAAACAGCTATAATCGAAGAAGGGAAGTATAAGGGAAGATACAAGGAGTTTGCGGGTGGAGAAAGGTAAGAGAAGCCAGGACCGACGAAACAGGCTGAGGGAGGCAATGGAATGGCGGGAAATTTGGGAAATGTGAGAATGCCATGAAAGGTTTTGGCCAAAGACTACTCCTAGGTTTTTAACCGAAGAGCAGAAGGGATGGGATGGTTATTTAGGATGAGAGGTGGGATGCTGGGGAGGGCATTGTTTTCAGATTAGATAGATAGAATAGATTTCAGACCTAAAACAAAAATATTATCATTCTTTTAACAATAACAACGCTGAAACAATTTAAAAAACAATATTTACACATGAAATATAAATATAATAAATTAAAGGAGCCTCAATTACAGCGACATAGGATTTTTCTAAAGGAATTTAACAGGTATGCTTTTATACTCATTGAGAAAGCACCATCCATTTTTTTTATTTAAACGAATTTTCAAATATTTCGTTAAGGACGTAAAGTTATTATATCAGATAACAAGGATGCCATTAGTGCCGCCCCGTTGTATTTTTCTTCATTATTTTTTATAAAGACCTGACTACCCAGTGCCAAAGTGTTTATAAAACAACTTTGGTAAAAGACATTTAATTCAAAACCTCGCCGTAACCAAGATTTCTGTCGCTAAAATATATCTCAAAGAAGTACTTTCTTATAGAGTTTGATTTAATGAACCCTAACAGAGAGAAATCGGCTTAATTAACATACATGTGACTACATGTGTATGAGAGGGAAAGGAAGAAAGACAGAAGAGAGAAGAGACGTACAACCAGAATAAATGAATGAATAGTCATAGAGTGAAAAGAGAAGAGAAAAAAGATGATTGAGCTTGTATCTATGAGAAAAAGTGAAAGAAATCAAAATGAAGTGTGAATGAGAGTGGTTGAATAGAAGAAACGGCCGAAAAAGGAAGAGGGAAAAATTAAAGAAAAAAAAAGAAAAGTAAATAAAAACAAAAAACAGAAAGATATGTAAATGTAATTATATCAATTCGGAAACAATGGAATGATAGAGAGAGACAAAAATAATTACGCAAGAGGGTGGTAGAATTTATTTAATTGAGTAATAACTTGCTTAACATAAATATAACATGTTGTTAAAAGTTAATATAAATTCGAACGAAATCGTTCTTATACAGATATACATTAAATAAAGCTATATTAAATTAAATATCCAATTTATTTACAAAACTGACGAAAAATCATTCGGTTCCTCTTTCAACAACAATAGCTCGGATACCCTCCCGGGCATGAGGGTAAACTGGGTCCACATACATAACACACCCATACACCTACACTGACACAAGTACATTTACATTATATACACCTTAGGGCTACCGTCCCTAGGAAGGTTCTTGAGACGAACTCAAAGTCTCAAGTCCTGGGATTGGCGACCCAGTACGGACATAACTCCGCCACACCTAACACTTGGTGGAGTGAGGGCGGGATACTTGGACGGTGTTCGGTCTTCGTCATTATGTCACCACCAACACACAAGCCGATGCACGCGGCCAAGGGCCTCGGAACCCGAAGATAACAAACGCAAATCACCGTGCACATCACACCACACCAACAACACACAGTCCTCATCTGGAGGTGTCGGTCTCCCGGTCTGCTTGAGTGTCCATGAGTCCTGCAGCTGTGAGGGTACAGGAAGAAAACTGGGTTACGGCACTCCCGGGCCGCGAGGTAGTACAGGGACCCGAACCCCGGAATAGCCACCGGGGAGGCTGTCGTATCACCTCGTGTATAATGGCGTGATGCCTAGTACTGCCAGCTGGCGTCTGGATGGTTACCGTGCTGGGCATCGCGGCGGGCCCTCTCGAGGCCACACGGTTTGTGGGGCGCGTGGGGTATCGCTCGAGCGGGCCAAGGGACCGACCCCAAAGGCTGAGAACTGTACACACATGTCAAAATACATCCTTACAGACAAAACAGAATAAATGATGAAAATGAAAAAGAACGAAAATAATCTAGGAGTAAAAGTGCCTACTCCGCCTAACCCGGGCCCGACCAGCCCGACAACACCCCCTCCTATCACAACACCACCACCACTCCCAACTCCCTTCTCAATCCCACCGAAGGATTTGCTTCCCTCTACTTCCCAGACCACGTCCCCCAATCCACTGCAAACCCTTCAACCACCTCTCCTCAACCATCCACTCCTTCTCATACGTTGGAGGATGAAGGCTTCGTTCCTGTTGCTGGGAAAAGAAAAAGAATTCCCACCAACTCGCCAAAGAGTGCAACACGAACAGAGAATGTACCAGTGTCTCCTTTGTCACCGGCACAAAAAAAGAGAAAAGAAGTAATAGTAGAGAAGAAGGAAAAGAAAGAAAAGAAAAAGAATTCGCGAAGTGGTGCCTCGTCGCTGGGTCTCGGGATCATGAGAATTACTCCTCTCGCTGAGGCATACCAGACGAGGTACTATAATGTAGCAAGGAAAGAGGGAGATTTTAAATCCACATGCCCTTTCCATCTACACAAGGAAATAAAGAAGATTGGGAAAACAAACTCTATCACAAAAAGTAGAGATGGAAAAATATGCATAGGAGTGACTGGGAAAGAAATCGAGTCAAAACTGATGTCATTAAAGGCGCTTGCTGGACATGAGGTCGAGGTAACCCCTCATCAAAGGTTGAACACCTCCAGAGGGGTAGTAGTATGCCGTGACCTCATGAATAGCAGCGTCGATGACATCAAAGAAGGCCTAGAGGACCAGGGTGTTTTGGAGGTGAGGAGGATGAACACTCGCCGGAACGGACAAATTGTCCCTTCGGCGAGTCTAATCCTCACCTTCGACGCCCCGCGATGCCCAGACGAAATAAGAGCAGCGTTCTACAAACTGAAAGTCCGCCCTTATATCCCACCTCCGCAAAGGTGCTATCGTTGCCAGAAATTTGGTCATATCTCCCTGCGATGTAAATCCCCGCAGGAAGTGTGTGAGTGTGGGAGGGAAGCACACCCAAAAGAATCTGGGTGCTCAGACCCTCCCACTTGCGTGAACTGCGGGGGATGCCATACGGCTCGATCCGCCAGCTGCCCTGT